GTATCCGCTGTTGCTGAATGAGCTGTTCTTGCTTCTCGTAGCAGTTCTGTTTCGCTCCCTGACAGTACCAATCGTCTGAGGCACTGTGCTGCAGTAAAGGGTCCTTTCCCGGGGTAGCTGGGCTGGACGTCGGCGGTTTCCGCGATCTCCTACACCAATATGCCAATTTGTTGCACCCGACCAGTTTGGTGAAGGCTCGTTTCAAGGGAGAAGACCAGAAGAACGATTTAGCAGCGCTTTGCGGAGGACTCGATTTCGGAAGGAGCTGCGCCGAAGAACTTGTGGTTGAAGGTGACCTGGAGTACACAGAATCGCCGTCCCCATCTGATTCCATCTGTGGAAGTCGAAAGCTCTGATGAAGATCTCTTATTCAAACCGAGGATGCGGTCTAGCAGGCTTCGATGTCGGGTCAGGGACGAAAAAGTTCTAGCAACGACAACCTGATGTGTCAATCTTGCTTTCGACGCTCTTAGAAATATTACTGCGGATGAGGAGCAATTATTAATGGGAAGGACGAAAGCGTGAGAGTCATATTCTCTCATCTCCTCTCAGGGAAGTCTTCAAGCACACACCCGAATCCCCTCATCGTATCGCGAGGTGGCTCGAGAGTTTTCAGGCATCCTCGATCTTCCGTTAAGCGACGTACGGGCAAGGGGGATTCCGCGGTCGATTTCGCACTCCAAAAGCATCGAATTGAGACCTGACTCGTGAGTTTATCAATTGTTTACTCACCAGTGGGTTCCGTTTTGAGATTTTCAGTCGATGCAGAAACTTCTCCAAAACCATTCTTGATTTTCACGTTTTATACGACCTTGCATAAATCACCTCCGAAAGGTTTCATGACAGGGAATTATCCGAACATGATCGTCACAGTCACGTGAGCGACACTCGTTGGGAGATTCACTCGAGAAGTGAGCTTTTACGGTCCATCGGAATCCGCGCTCTCGCTGTACACAGCTCACAGATAAATGACACTGCTCACAATATCCGATATATTCGAGTCAAACACAGCCTATACAAGAGATCGTTCGAAATTCAAGAGCTACATCGGAGCGTCCACGAAGCCGCTTTCATCGCGGTGAGGCCGGCGATACTCTTCAAATGCGAACAACGCGGCGAGTAAAGAACGAGTGAGAGAGGATTTGCGGAGAGAGAGCAGAAGCGTGAACGGCCTAGAGAGAAGGACATCTTGAACGCAACAACCTGTCAGAGTCGGATCAAGGCTTAGCGGGGAACTTTTCCCGCATGAGACCCGCGGGAGAGAAAGCGGACTCGACGAGAAAAAAATTGGGGGCAGTCGATCTTCGCCAACCCGGCCTGATTCCCCAACTCCTGGATGGAGCCGCATGCTGTTTTGAATCCAGGGCAAGCATACGGCGGTCGCTGAACGGAGGGGAGCGAATCAGAGTATCGAAACTGTTCCCGCCTCCTCTGTGGAGAGGCTTTATGAAGTCTGAATTAGATTTCACTGAACCCCTTCATCAGTCCCAACAAGTCTCGGTAGTTATAAGAGTCTTTGATGGCGGCGGTGAAACCTCTCGAAATCTTCGTGGAGTATTCCGGTGATCCTGGATGAAGTCCTGGGCGTATTTTGAGTAGTTAACCGGCGGCGCATCTCCACGGGCTTTGCGGTATGTAGAATGAATAATAAATGATAACTAATAACTCTTCGGCACATTGCATTCCTGATGCCCCATCAGAATGTGGCGCACTTCAGTTCGGAGCTCTGGAGCCTGAAACTCCATCGAACGTGCCAGAAAGTCATCGGAACGAGTTGAACGTCAACCTTCCTGAATCTCCGACGGATATACCGTACACTGAAGCCTGGCGCTGATCGGAGCCTCGTTCGGAGGCAGCCGCCGCGCCGCCTTCTGGGATTCTGCTCTTCTCGGAGAACCCGATTGATCATCGCGGATTACTCGCGGTGGCACGATGCATAGAAACGAAGCAGATGCAGGCACGGAAGAGAGTCGTTGGCGAACTTCAATGAATCGTCGTCAATAGAGATCGAGGAAACGCATTTCAGGGAATGTGCAGTAAACAATTTCTTCACATGTATTTCGCCGTTCTTAGCCATCGCAGGAGGAGTGTCTCGGAGCTAGCAGTCACTCGATTCGTCTATCAGCAAGAACATGTACGAATGTAAGTTTCCAATCGTCGAATCAAACCAAGCAATCCATATGGAATGGTCGCCGATCTACCCGGATGGAAGCGCGAACTTCAAAATCGCGATACGAGCTGCTGCTTAGACTTGCAGGACCTTGTTGACCTGTCCGTCGGAACCAAGTCTCCGCTCATAATGCATTGACAGCCGTACCGACGCGGGACTTTTCCGTACTCCCACCATCCGAGATATGCAAACCCTCTTATCTTTCTCTTATCTTTCCTTCGAAAACCGAGGTTTCTCGGGCTCTTGTCGCGCTCAGCAATAATGGACGCCGCACCGACAAAAGCTCCATAAAACACCTCGGGACTTCCTCGATGATGAACACTAGCGTACAAACATCTGCGTTAGAGCATGCCGAGTATATGCCGCTTATTGACCGATTTGGTGTGTGACAGAAGTAGCGACCGGCGCAAGAAACGCGCCCCGATAATAGCGCACCATCATTTTTAGCAAGGCCTAAAATATTTCTCGCAGTCCGACTTTTGGTCAGTTGAGACTCGTGCACCAGATCCGACCGACCGGCCGACAGACCAGCCGAGCCGGCGTCCGTCAGCAAGAGACAGCGGTACTCAGGCAGAAGCGCCTCCTGGACATCGTTCCCCTGAAGGCGACGGCACGAGAGGTCGGCGCGCGCGCCTGCCTGCGACTTGATGTTCTTCTTTCAAGGCTCCGATTCTCGGGGATAACCATTGGCGGCCGGGTCGGCTTCACTCAAAGGATCCGTCGGCCGGCCTAGCTAGACAGCCGACCAGTCAGCTAGATGGGTTGAACGTCGGTCGGAGGAACAGCAGAAGCATGAGCGCGACAAGAAACGACGGAGAGAAAGAAGAGGGAGGAACTTCGCCTCTGTCGTTAGATTTTACTGGGATTCTTTGCCACGGATGTTCGCACGGAGCTCAGCGTATATTTCCCCTGAAACTCCAATACCAGCTGATCGAGTTCCCCTAACCCGAGCGGACGATCACTCGATATTCGGTGCGCAAGCATGCGGGGAATGGAGAGGTCTCTGGGTCAGTCATCGGAGCACTCCGGAAATCATGAAACACCGGGCGCAAATCGCACAGCGTGAAAATCAAAGTCGAAACTCGAAAACTGGAACATTTGACTCTTGAGGGAGCTCAGAAAACATTTCCCCAAACTTCCTTCGCTGGACGATAACCCAGGCAGCGACTCGGAGCTTGTCCACACTCCCGATACAAGCCTGCGTACGTCGGTTGTCTTCCGCGTCTTCAGAATCCAAAACCTTTGCGAAGCAAGCCTCCCTCCGATCGGAGAGTCCAGCTCGGCCGAGCTTCTGCCAAAAAGGGCGGTCAAATGGTCTACGGTGCGTCATCCGCGTACGCTATACTGGAAATCGGCAGTCAAACGATGTTTGAGTCGCTGCCCTGTGCGCGGATATTTGTGCGCGCCGCATTTTTTGTGCGCTACGATCTTTTTGTGCGACCCGCCGGCACTGTGCGCTGATCCTCCGTTCGGCGGGTGACGCGTCAATCGTTCGCTCAGGCATCGGCCCCGTGTGCTGCCATCACAGTTCACAATGTTGAGTTCACGACAAACTTGAAGGCCGCTGTCCTTCGCGAGCGACTGCGCCGACGATCGGAGGACACTATCAAACTAATAGCAAAGATGACGCGTAGTGGTCCGGACCACCCGCTCTCATGCTCCGCGGAGAATTCTCTTATAGCGGCGTTTCTGGCAAGTTCCGCAACTCGACTCGACGTCGATCCTTCGCAGCTTAGAAGGCCAGATCTCCAGATCATATGCCAACATCACGGCCTGCATGAATCTCCCCGGAAGGCTGATGAAGATTTCTGTAACTAGTGATTCAGAATCATCATCACCCTCAGGTATAACTCATCGCTCATGTCGAGGAACCATTCACGGACTTCTGTGAGCTGATCTCCCCTCTCTCTGCTCGCCTGCTCAGCGAGCCGGCTCCTCTCATCGCGAGTAGCGGTCGGGAGATGGTCGTGCTAGAAGCGAGGCGCTCCTCTGCTGGCTCTTGCTTGGTGCTGCTGCCGTAAGCGAAAGCATGGAACAAAGGTGCTTATTCTAAGCCTTTCCGCGATTTATAGCTTTTGCTAGAAAGTCACGGCATGCCTCTCGATACGTAGGCCGTGGATTCCGCTGCGACGCACTCTCGTGTCGAAGGAACATGGATACGAACATAAGGATATCTTTCTTGAATCGATTTTCCTGCTCAATCTGAACCAAATATCTGTTGCAAATCGGACGATCTCGGGAGAGTGGCTACGACGGCGACGCGACGTGTCCTGGCTTGCCGTCTCCACGTCGGTCATGGGATATCCATCCATATCAAGTTCTTGTTCTCAGCTAGGCGACCGCGTGGTACCATTGTGCGTGTAATTATTGGGACCGAAGTTCCGAAACAGGGAGCATCGAGAGACGAGGCGCGCCTGCTATCTCGGCTGCTCTGGCATTATGAATGCAGCGAATCGCTTCGTGCACACATAGATGGAGGTTTCCATGGGATCGTCATTCTTTTTGATAACACGTTCCGACGCCCTCACCGACAAGGGGAGAAGGACCCGCATGCTCAACTATGCTCTCTACGATGTGTGTCTGATGTGGGCGAAGTCCTTGAGGGGGATCCAGGCGCCAGGAGGGCTCGAGGTCTCGGCCGCTGCTGCGAACTCTCCCCTGCGATAATCGATCTCGATGATTTCTGACGGAATCCAAAGCTCTCCTTCCGGATGATAGGGTTATCCCTGATGCAGAAAGATTATCCTTATTGGAGTGCGATCTCGGGCAGCTATTCCGATCAAGCCTCCTCGCAGAGGAATATGTATCAGGAGAGAGTTCGGATGGTAGGGGAGGTCTCAATCATTATACCTAATAATTATTGAACCAAAGTTTTCGAGCCATTGATGAGGAGCTGAGGTAAGGGGGAAACGAACTGCCATCGTCGCGACTCAATGAACTATCGATGGCCCCTCTATGGGAGGGTCGAGTTCCGTCCACCGGAGGTAGGAATCGTCGCTCCAGAGTTTCCTGATATCATGAACCTCGCATGGCAAGAATATCGCCAACTTCTTCGTTTTTTTCGCCAATCCTCTTTCGGCTAGGAGGAACTGTTTCATCGCATCTGAGCCCTCGAGATCGGCGATCAGAGCTTCGGAAACGGAGAGAGATGTCAGCCGATTGTGAATGGAGACGTATTAGCGTTCCAGTTCACATCACTTCCTACCGCGAGTTGCACGCACTGCAACGTAAGCTGTTTATATATTTTTCGATTTTTGCGGGAAGGGGGTTGCGCGAACGCAGACCCCCCACTACCAAAAATTACATGCCCCATCTTTCCCAGTTTGGGAGAGTGGCAGGTCTCAACCCCGTCGCAGTGCAATGACGAGGCCTCCTCCTGGGGTCTCCACCTTCGTGATCATGGAGGTCCCGGCACCAGGTAAGTATGATGTTTCAGCTTGAGCAAATGACTACGTATGCGCCGCTTGCTTGCTAGCGCCGTGCTCGGAAAGCTTTTTCGTCTCAAGTATTATCTTCATAAACGGCGAGGCCGTCCCTAGGTTTTGCCACTGACCCTCTTCGTGGCGCTGCCCGAAGTTCTATAATTGTGGCGATGGAAAACTCCGCGACGGAATTACTGAAGAGTCGGAAATTAGCATCTTGATCGGTAATCTACGGCACCGGCTTTGGATTTCAAAGATCGCGGCCCACGCGGTGCTGGGTTGGAGTGGGATGATTCGAGATCTCGCCACCGTCGACGAGTTGATGCCAATTACTTCGGAGCTCTCTCGAGTCTGCGATGAATCTTTTATTCGAAGCCACATCACTCCTACAGTATCCAGCGGATCAGTCGTACCACAGAGGACATCTTTCCTCCTCGTCCTTGACGAAGCACTTGAATGCTTGCTTGAAATCTACGGAGGTGGCTGTCGCACCGTTCACCCTGAAAAACGAGAGCGGTTGATTGCTTGGATCTCGGGCACATATGAAGATCGGGAAAATCGATGCTATAATAATTCACACGGAGAACCTGATGGGGGAAGGCGAATGCCGACTGAATGCCACCTCTTGAGGGCTGTCCGCACGATTGGGCTCGCGGCAGAGGAAATGAGCGAACTCCATGTAGTAATATTGATCAGCACTTATACCCGGCTTGACAGGTGATAGCGAGTCAGTCTGATTCAATTTCGACTTGAACACCTTGCGAAATAGACGAAGGAGCGGCATGAGGCTCGGTACTTTGTCGGTGTTAAGGGCATGGAACGATACACCAACCATTCGAGCTGGACCGTTTCCGAACGCTGAATGTTTTCAGGCACATCGAAAATTGACCCGGACTTCCGCAACTTACGTCATAGCCGAGCGCTAATCCGCTGACATCGGCAATGTTCTCATCCAGCTTCAGAGTCCCGTTGAGCTGCGAGGGTTCGCGAGATAATTATCTCTCGGTTCTTTCAAGAGTATTCATTGTGAACCTACGTATGGGACCGTTGGGATCCGCGGGATGTGCTCAGCCTCATAAGTACCTGCGTTCCATTGAAGCTAAATTTCGAGTAGCGATCCACATAGCACTGCGATAAACGCTGGAACTCTTCAAAGCTACCCTCCGACATCCACAAATCTGTGATCCCAAGCCGAGTTAATGGAGTACTTTCGGAGCACTCGTCGAGATTGTGCCGTGTGATTGATCGGGGAAGTTTTGGAATTAGATAGAGCTTGAAATCCGAGACTACTACCTTTGTGGTCGACGTAGATGTCGGGAACGAAGAAGGCGTGAATAAGCTCTCGACTCAATATGAAGCTCAGAGCCGCGTACTTCACAGTGCTGGAAATGTCATTTCTAGATTAGACATCGTCGGAGCGGACTATCAAATCTCCCCCAAAAGACCCCGGGGATCGAGTAAGACAGGAGTCTGCTCACTCGGGGTAATCTGTGTGGTAAAAAGGTTCCTGTAGCAAACGCGGGAGGACGAGAACGCAGTCCACGCCGTACAAGTAGAACGCATTCCTCTGGAAGTCGATCAAGAAGGCTCAGTGGTGTTGACAAAAATTCTCGAGCTCCGAACCCCGCGACGCTAAGATCTCTCTCGAGGTCAGCATCACCGGAAGGCATACAGATTCCGCGAAATCCACGATTATTCATATCAGTTGCTTCTGAGTTCTCATCATCAATCATCACCCCTTTGGCATGATAAATATCGAAAGCGTCCGTCTTGTTCGCCGCTAACAGCAGCGTGCTAGCCGCAGACTCCAAGTTGAATTTTTGGATTCGTAGGACGTTCTCTATGAGATTAAGAGGGTCAAGAGCCAGGCTGGCGTGTCGATCCGTCATATACGAGTCGTCGAAATATTTGTCCGGATATCCGGCCAGTATTGACATGTTCTGCACCTGCAAGCACACCGACGGAAATCGTGACCGAGGAATCAACGTAGGGTTGGGGGAGTTCATCGAGCGGACCTCCAGAAGTGAGCTCTCTCACCTTGCTCATGGCGTAAAGTTTCGTGAGGTCATCCATCCAGGTCATATTGCTAAGCCTCTCACTGAAGGATTTTTTTATGGATCCGAATAGGTTCGTGACGTCTTCTCTCACTGTAGAATCTCTGGTGAAGCTCTGTCTCACGTAAATCGAGTTCATCGCCGCCGTCAGTCTTTTGAAAGCGGCTTCTAAGCAGAGGCTTTGTAGCAAGTCTGGATCTGTTTCCAGGTTTTGGGCCACGTGGATCAAGGCCCGTATCTTGATGTAATTGGCAAGCGTTCTGGAAAATGGAACCCCGCAAGGTCACTTCCCATCCGCCGGAGCATTGGCACTCCATGGATGGATCGGAGATCCGATAGATTGGAGTTCTTCTCGAGTTGCTCCTGCTCCTGATTCGATGCGACTTCGGAAATATATTTTGTGGAAGCGTATTCCTCAGGGACCTCAATTACTGCCCGATTGTGATTCATGGTTTTTCCAATTGCGTACCTCTGTCGAATGGGATCGCTCAAGCTCTCGCTTATGACGAGGGCCAAATTCTCCAAGGCTCGGCGATTGAATACGCTGAGCATAGTTTGCGTTGAGATAACTACATCACCCTGTGGAGAAAAGAGAAACTTATACCGCAGAACCGCGGGGTATCCAGGGTTCCCACCAAAGCTTCGGATCTTAGTCTCACCCGCAAGAAAGGCATGTAGAAGAAATTCGTGAAATTCACATGAGGGAAGATTTCGTCCATTTCGGACACGGTGAGCTGGAATTCGAAATATGTGTCGAGGATACGCCGTCTGACTTCCTTGAGACCGACAATTCGAACGCCGAAATTATGATGAAATGATTCGGGGAGATCCAAGAACAAACCTTTTCGTATGTGAGCTCCTCCATCGTTGACCTCTGAAAGCCGTCATTGAGTTGGATGATGTCCTTCACCATCTGCACCAATTGCGGGCCGTTGTTCTGACCCGGATCGTCGGATGCCACCATCAACTGCAACTCGAAGAAATCTTTCTCTTGAGTCCGCGGGTAGCCGGGAAAGGCTCCAGCCTTCACATGGGAGGAATAGATATCCTCACCTCCACAAGATATTGGGAGAGTTCTTGAATCTGATTCTCATTGCCTGTCATTCTCCTCCAGAAACCCGATTGACTGTCCTCCGGTGTGATCTGTGTCGATGAAATAAGATTCTTATGATGCATCAGGTCTACGTGCGAAATTTACGTGAGGGCCGAAGAGTTTGGAAACGCTGCTTTTACCAAGATGACGTGCTGTGAGGAATTCGTCGGGTCGAAGTTCACACCCCAGGCGAAAAAGAGGGTGGCTCCGTACTTGTTATGCACTTTATTCATCAAAGCTGGCATATCTAGTTTCATGGTGCTTCCACTCAATTCCCAGCCTCCGAGATCCTGGAAGAATGAGAACTCTTCAGAGTAATGATGACTCTTGAATCCCTGTCGAGCCGAGCTTCGATTACTCGTCCATCGCTCCAAGCCAACTCACTTCCATAACATCTTGAAGCGCCTTAAGATTGAGATTTCTCTGTGGATGATCGTTCTGTGAGAGACACGATCTGTAGAATGTCTGAGCTTGCCGCTCGGCTTGATTCTCGGCTTTCCCCCTCACTGAAATATTGGATTTCTCGACAGAGCAAACGTGAGGGAAATATCATCGAATCATCATTGAATCATAAAAGGTTTCCTCACTCAGGAAATGAATCACGGCGTCGAGGGGAGTTTCCGGCGCGGTGTAGTTGCCGCACATGTATGCGTAGAAATCCACACAAGGATTGATCTCAAAGAATGACTCAGATTAGCTCAGGAAGATGAACCCATCGAATGAACATCAGAAGGGACTCCGTCTGAATACGTTGTGATGGATTATTACCGAGTCATCCATGCTCCTCTGAAGCATGTCCATTTTATCCTCACAGACAGGATCCGAACACGTCCCGTTGGGTGCAATCCCAGAGGGGTCTTGCGTGCTGCCCTCGTCTCCTCCTTCTCCGTCTCCCTCGGCATCGTCATCGGCGTAGGCACCGCTCAGCAGCATGCACACAACCAAGAGGAACGAAATCGCTTTCAGCCGTTGACTTCTGCTCGGAAATTAAAATTCGAAATTAAGGTATTCCTCATGCAGAGATAGCTTCGCTGGTGAGCTTTGCGTGGAGCTCTCTCTACAGGAGGGACCGATGAGCCTACTTGGATCGAGGACTGAGGATCATCGATAAGACCTGATGGATGTCGGGAATCCATGAACGGAGCTCCATAATCCAATCAGGGACTCGCGAAGGTTGGATGAGTCGCTCACGAGCTCTGCGTCTGCAATTCATGGTCAGACCATCAGGGCTGCACTCTCCGTGAATCACGCTTTCGATATCTACGGTGCATCTCAATCGTCTCACTTTAGCTTACCGAAGGACACTCAAGGTCAATGAAGCTTCTGAGATCTTGGCAGATTCGGTCGGAAATTGAGGGTTCGTCTCCTAAACCGTTTCGAGTCTCGTTTTCTTGAGCTCCGCAGAGTACCTACGTTCCGAGAGAGCTTCCGTGAATCCCAGTCGGAGTAGTACTTCTGCGAATTCAGAACAAGATGTCAGCGACGCAAACGAGTTATTCCGCCGTAAGTCTCGATGTCGAAAGATGTGAGCATTATGTCGGTCATCCTAGAGGTCGTGAAACGACAGGCGATCGAGATTGAGCGAGATCGGGATCTGAAAACGAAGAATATATAAGCATTAAAGAGTGTTCCGACACGAAATGTTCCGTTGAGACCTTTTAGGCTCGGATTCAGCTCGGATTTGACTGCGAGCATGATTTCGATGACCACTAAAGGCTAACCCAACATCTGAATCGCTCACATATTCGGGGCTTGGGAATATTCCTTGCGAAATATTGGCCGCCTCTTCTCTCCCTATTTAATCGGAATTCAGGGTTCGTCTCCTAAACCGATTCTAGTATCGTTTCCTCTACCTATCGTCGCAGGTCTTCATCCTGGAAAGACGAGTCGAAACTGTGGATGGTTTTCCTCTGTATACATCTGCTTCGGGCTGGATCTGGGCATCAGTCGCGGCGGTAGCCTCGAGATTCCCTCTCGAAACCCTTGGTTTAGCCTGAAGCCGAGAGCTTCTTATCCGCCTTTGACCTGGGTGTAGTCGTAAGGGCAAACGAAACTTCTGGATTCGCTCAATCCTTTTGAAGCGCTAAAATCAGCCGATGATCCTCAGCATACTCCTCAGCTCCTATTAGTCGAATCCCTCGACAGTCGGATTCAGGGGGAACAGTAATTAATCCATTCAGGAAATTATATTGGGGACGGGTTCCCCCGCCGCAACAGAATGACCCCAAACGATCCTCCGCTCGAGAATTCGACGGGAAAACGCGCACATGGATTCTGAGGATGGTGAAACTAACTAGAAATCTTCCCGATGCCGGATTGTACTGTATTTCCAGCAATATGAGCATCATATCTCCCTCGTGACGAGCTGCTTCCCGAATCCCGTCTCACTACATTTTGTCGGGTAGTAAGTTTATGCACATTTCGTGCTCCGAGAGTTGTTTACACGGCGGAAACTCATGAAAAATTGGCATTCTCTTTCCTACATGCGAATGAATGTGTCACGCTCCACATCTCCGCCTTGCTCACGACGGGGATTGTCGAAAAATCAATACGGCACGGACTTCCCCCTCTGTAGTCATCCAGACATAGCAGATGGAGTGGAATCGGGCGAACACAGATCTCGCTGTGTGGAGCGTCAGGTTTCCGTCAGCGTTTCGAACGATGAAGGTCGCAAGATCAATTTTGCAGCTGCATCCATGCCCATCCGCTAAAGTTCCGAGCAAAGTACTCGGAGGACAACCAGTGCTCATTTCTCCGCCTTGACAATGTTGATTTTTCTGCTCCCCCGTCCACCCATTGTGACAAGAAAAACTGATTTCGGCTCACGCTTCGAAGCCCCCATGGTCTCCTTGGGAAATTGCTGTCGATTACAACCGCTGGCGGCTACAATAGATATTACATATCACAGTATTCGCGATTCGCGAGGACGGGGTCGAAGGACTGGCCCTCTCCCAGCTGCTTCCGACCCCATCTCCTATGATGCGCGTAGAGCTCAGGTAGACCATCCCACACGAGAGGGGACGCACAGAGCGCTTTTCAACCTCGGTGCGCCCCGCGACCGTGCTCGCGGTTCCGCGGGTACGGTGTAAGTAATCCCGGAAGGCGATGCGCGAACTCGGAAGTGCGGGCGCTCGCCTCTCACAAATCAAATGAATCAAAGCTTGTGACCGGCGGTGGAAAACGAAATTTTGCTCTGCTGAGAGAATTTCGCACAAGGAGATGTGGAATATTGGACCGAGCCGAGTCATGTTGAGCAGCTTTTGGATGATAGTTCTTCGGAAGTGAGCGGGCGAATTCGGGCTCGACCAAAGAGTGAGCTGTACGAAATTGTTGTCGTCGGCGGAAAAACCCTCAAACTTGCGATACATCATTTGACAGCAAAGTTCGAGCTGTATTCTCCCCCCTGAGGATGAGGGATGCAGCTTCGACAAAGCAGGACCCGTCGCCAGAATAGCCAATGTTGAATAGAGACAGGTCATACTCGGAGCCCTACCAGAATGTCCGTGGTGAAGGCGAGCAATGGGATAGAGCGCTCACGGGAATCGTTCTTATCAAATCCGAACAAGTGGGCGAATGAATGCGCACTCGATTCGAGGGGTCGTCTCCTCAAGAGCGCCTCTGTCCCGTCGATGACCAGGACAGAGAAGAGTTACACCTGCTGCTGGATATTCTCCTATTTGATAGCTGCCGCGGCTGGATCAGTGATCTATTGGAGCTATACGACTCTGACCGATGAGGCTTTAAGGGCGCCTCCCGACAGCTCCTCGTCCACGAAGATGCTCTGGCCTCCTCGTTTCAAGCGCGGAATCCATCCAATGGAATCATGCGGAGAAGTCACCGAATGCAAGGAGTGCCCGGGGGAGCTATCAGATCTCCTCGTGTACAAGCCGTTCTATTTCGAGAAAGATCATCCGCAGCAGCCGGCTCGGATCCTTTTGAGCGTGAAACTCAAGGAGCCGAAGTCCTTGGAAATGATGACTGTGAGCCTGATACTCGGCGACCGTGCTCCCGTGACGTGCATATCATTCTTGCTCCTGTCTCACGGAATCGCCGCCTCCGGAACGATGAGAGGCACTTGGGGAAGTTTCAGCTTGCTGCAGAATGTCACCAATGTATTCGAATCCGTGGCGGAGATGCTCAAGCTCAGCGATCGCGTTCATCTGAGGAATGAGTTCCAGACGACTGTCTCTAACAGAGAACCCATATTTTATCAAGAATTCGAATTCCGAATGGACAGGGCTGAACCATCGTTAAGTGTCTCTAAGAGCAAGAACATGGACAGCCCGGTTTTGTTAGCTCACCGTCCCGATATGTCATTCAAGAATTTCCATCTACTTCTCTTCGATAGCCGCGGAGCTCCCATAGATGCAAGACAGATTTCGATGAGTGCGAAGATAATTTGCGCGGCCTAGATGTTATTCATCGACCGCGTATCCTGGAAACCTCGTTTCCCGTCTCATCCCGTTCGCCTAGAGGGTCAGATGTATTTGCTGAGTCGTTATTTTTGTTTTATGAACGAGGAGTTGACTGGATATCCGGGAGAGAGCCTCGCATTGTTTACCGTCTGTCTAATGAATGAATCATGATTCGAAGCGAGAAAGTTCACGACCGAGGCTCGCCGAATAAAATAGTTATATCGAGTCTTGCTCATGGCGAATAGATGGACTGTCAATCGCAACATTCGAGGGCGACAGCGGCACGTCGGCCCCAGAGGTACATCGGCACCCCTATTGACCGGCAATTAGCATGAGCATGATGTTCCGAGCGGGCATATGGCGTCATGGTCCATCTCTTCTCTCTCCCCACCGAAGCGTGTGCCTCTCCTCTGCTCTCGTCCCTATCGCCAATGTACGTCTGGGGTCGACGCGACGTAGCCCGGCGTTCGGGAGCCCAGCACGAAATGTCCCCATCCTCGCTTTGCAGAAAAGAACCGGAGAATCGATCTACCGGTCGGGTGCCGATGGTGACGGAGAAAAATGTCGGACATGACACGTTCACGCTGAGGTGCACGCCGGGGGTCCCAGGCTGGCGCGGCCGGCGTCGCGTATCTAGGAAGGTCCTCGGTCCCCTTGGTGTGCATTCCAACCACTTCTTTAGCGAGCTAAAACCATCGTAAAATTGTAGCCATTTGTGACAATCTGCGCTCAATGTGAGTACGAGCTCAATAGACATCGAATTCCGCATCCGGAAGATTCCCGTAACAGTAAAGTAATTCATTCACTGCCGGTAACTCCATGTCTACGATTGATAATGCCCATTTTCGCAGCATGAGCTCTCCAGGGAAGGAAGCTAGTCAATCGATATGTTCGGGGGGGAGGGACGTTTCCCCGCAGCCCGGCACTTCTCGCGCGAATGTAACACCGGGACCCGCAGAAGCAACGCCGACCTCGCAATATAGGCAGATATTGTCTTCTTGCGTGGAAGACCTCGTAGTTGATATGACGCCGAGTTCCCCGAAAAGACCGTCCGCGGTATCCGGAAAGGCTCCTCTGAAGCGCAAACCAGTCGATCTTAACGGTCTCTTGGCCATGGAGAACCCGTACAAATGGGGCATAGTCTGCTCGAATGCTTACGCAGAGCGATTCGAAGACTTTCTACTCATATGTCCCCAGCGGGCGCACGCCGATGCGAAGATTTACATCGCGAAGGGTGACGAAGAAATAGACCCATATTTGAGTATGACGTGTCATATTCAGGCTGCTTCGATATATGCCGTCATTGGTGAGTGCTCTTATGCTCGTGAAGCTTGTAGGGGTTGTCTCGATTTCTCTTCCGGACGACTCCTTATTCGATTGAATGAAGAAAATTCTTTCCATGAGTTCGGTTCCAAGAAGGAGGGGGAGCAGCTCTGACTTCGCTGCTACACTGAAACTGCAATTCTGATTCTTAGCTCAATTCGCCCTGAAGTATCGCAAAGAACCGCACGCCGCGGCACCCATGTACGAGCTAGGCATTTCCCTCTTGGACTCGATTATCGATAAGCTCGAGTTCGAAGATAAATTAACTTGCAAGCAGCAGCGCTTCCACATTCTCTGCTTGAAATTCAAGTCCTGGCTGCTTTACCGAAGTTACGCGATGTTCGATGCGTCGGATAGGTTAGTGAATCGTCTGCCCGCGACGAGAGGCAACAGAACCTTTAATTGATCTATCTGACTATAACCGCGGTGACCCAAGAACGAAGCAATTGAGGTAGATCATTTCGATCTTCAGACTCCGGCTTGAACGAGATTGTCAGGAATTCCTCGCGATCGGGGAATCATTGCGATTCACACGGGATTCGGATCTTCCTGGACCTATTGAGTTCCCAACTGGAGAATTCATGGATGTGAGTTGATCTAAGTCAGTCTCCCGGGAACATGTCGAGATCATATATACAGAGATCGAGGAAAGATATCCACATGATCATTTATGCCTCTCGTACATATCTCGAGAAATTGCCAGACGGTTTTTCGGAACATCAGATCCGAGGGGTGTTTTGTGCCGCAGGTGTACAGATTTAGAGAAGGACAGCATTTTCTGCTGGAATCACTACGGTCTTGGGACAAGGCTGAATGGATTCTGGACAGGAATAAGTACCATCGTTAGTATCAATCATCGTATGACGGAATTCCTCAAAGCCCGCTCTGGCGTGTCGGATGCAGACCCAACGCCGAGAGAGATGCTAGAAAGTTGGAACGATGAGGTGAAGAGAGGTCGATGATCTGTTTCTTTTTATTTGCAGAACTCTTCTTCCTCGCAAGCGAGAGTGCCGTGGAGAAATACGTCGATTTCATGAGTCTGACCAGGCACATGCTTGTATTTGTGAGAGAAACACTTTGCCGTTTGTATATGTTTGATGAGCCGGGAAGCTAGATCGTAAGCTGTCGATTGCATTTTGTGGAAACCTTGATCATCCTACTCTACATGATATATATCTGTCTCGTATCAATTCACTCCACTAGTGAAACTCACCACTATCAACAACATCCATCTTCTAACTTTTGAATTTTTCGACGTAAACGGATGGTGAATTCGATAAAACAAGTGACCCTCCTAGTCGATCCGACAACGGGGATTAAATCTGACAGAAGTTTCATCTTTGTCCCACTGAAAGAATCTTCCGTGTACTCTCACCCGAGCCTCGATTCTGATTGAAACGATTCCGGAGGGTAAACAACAACGACAATCCGATTCGAATAGAATCGTTTCGAAAAATTGATCCAAACCACGTCTCACTGGGTCCAGGGGAAATTGCGAAAACTTGTCCACCACGAGCTGGTCGCAGGTCCATGACAGGGGGTACTAACTATACTCCAGAGGAGGAAGTCTCGAGAAAAACTCGGCAATCGGAAAACGGCGATTCCCTCGGAGATTTCAGGCAGCAGGCATTTTCGTCCCGCGTATAAGAGGACGCGGAATTCCGTGGGAGGATATTGCGACGAGGGTCGGCAAGTTTTCGACCTCGTCCAACAGAGACAAATCGTCGCTCACCGCGCGGACAAGAAGTTGCTCGCCACTGACTGAGTGAACTGTTCCCCCAATGGTATTCTCCGAATGCATGATGCATATTGCGAGACATTTCTGGAAAACAATCGACAATAGACGATTTGAGGATCCTCATCCCCACCTTCTAGAATAAACTCACTTGAATACCTACTCTCGGAGTAGCTCAAATTGTGAGGTTTAGAGACGCTCATCGTTCCATGGGGTGTGATCCCATAGATTCGAATCAGTACGTTGTTCCTCCGGTCCGCCCCCCCCCTCATGAAACTCCAGAGCCTAGTCGTCATTCTACGCTGAACGAGTTTGGGCACCAATCACCCTACGGTCGGAGCTTCACACCCCGCGGTACGCTCGGCTAACAATTATCTTGGCATTTTCGCTCACACATGAACCAATTGATTGGCTCTACCGTCGGCTTCGATCTGAGTGAGTCGTCAATCTCTACAGTGACTGGGTACATCGGTACTCTCGAGAGATTTGGTGGGCACGAGTCTTCGACGGCCTACGACTCGCGAAAGTCTCCCGCTCCGAGGCACGGCTCCGCGATATTCTGCGTTTGATTCCGCTAGTTATCAAGGGGTGCTAGACTAACTGGGTGTAAGCCGGGAGTGGGAACGGGAAGGTGCTAGTGTGGAAGGGTCGCCTTGTATCTCAATTTTCTGCACTCCGGCACCCCTCTTGCGAGCGTTTATGCACACTGAAAATCTCCGGGAGAGAGGAATGCGCGAGCTGAGCCCGATCAGACCCTTAAACCGACTCTCACCGAGAGAACAGGCGAGAGTCGTTTTTTCAGGTTGAGACTCCGAAGCTGAAGTCTAGTCAAATACTCACTCAAAGATTTCCGAAGCGAACGTACACTGAACGTGTATTACACCGTGTATGAAGCCTCTGCTCCTCTGTTCCCTCGGCCACTAGAGAACGCTCAACTTTGAATTTCGACATTGCGAACTAGAGATGGGATCTGCGCTTATACCCGAATGTAAGTCGACGGTGCCCTGATCAAGAAGCGTGCCCCTCCTCTCAGCGACTCCGAAAGTTCACCTCAAGTGTGTAAATCCAATCCGGAGCCTATCCGGAAAACATGCGGCAATTCTGCTCAATATTACTCTCGTTCGCGTTGGTATCCTCCGTGAGCAGTGCGCCCCCGCAAGCGCCATGGGCATTGTCCGTGCTTGAAGAACCCAGTTCTCAAGAATGTATCCTCGAGACTCCTCTGACGGCGGTCAGGGGTCTGATTCTGCGTACCAAGATGCCCGATGAATCTGCCCCATCTAGACCCTGCAGCACCGTCCTCAGGAGCCCCGCCGGGAAGCTGCTCCGATTGAGAGTGGATCTCGCTTCCCTCGGAGGCAGAGGAGCTTTCCTGCGAGTGACGGCGAACCAAAATACATGGCAGATAAACAACAGCTGCTTCCCTTGTCACGAGGGCGCCATCGAAAGCAACGAGATCACGATCGATTATTTCCTCACGAATACCTCTAAATACCTGCTGAGATATGAACTGATCGAAGAGACCTGCCCCCTCCTGGAGATTGCTCCCCCACTCACGGTCAAGACTCGAGATCCCGCGACAAGAAATACTGGTTCTAGCTTCGAGCTCGAATGTCTCGATAGCTCGAAATACACCCTGGTTGGCGAAAGCCGAATTTCTTGTGGAGTAAGTTCGAACGGTGCGGTAAGCTGGAGTGCACCTCTTCCCGAATGCCGCCTGCTTCCGGATCGGCATGAAATTCGGGAGTCCAGCCAAAGACTCGATGATTCAGAAGCAGACGGAACAGTTCTCGACGACGGTGGTGATCAACTTCCACAGTACCAAGCCACAGAAGGTCCGATACCTTCGGAGCCCGTCCCGATGACAGAAAGTTCCGAGTCCTACACGAGCTCCGGTGCGGTCGGGGATCCATCCGCCCTCGATGAGTTCACCCACAGGGCTGATGATACGACGGAAGACCTGCTCATCGAAAACGGAGGGGATCAAAACTCACAAGCAATCGAAACCCAGACGATGAATGACGGAGTCGAGGTCACACAACCCCTCTCTAGCTTCGATGATACGGCATATGAGTCCTTCTCGGGTGATTCCCCACCAGAGATCGAAGGTTCGGCCCAGGGTGCGATCCCCGACCTCGACGTCGAAGAGAGTCGCGATTCTCAGCAACGGATATCAAACGATGCCGCTCAATCAGAGCCAGGCTCGGCGATCAAGTCGGTCGAGCTCGAACCAACCCAGTCAAATTCCGATGCGGTGACGGACCCATTTCCTCTGGGAGAATCCACCCAGAGCCCCGAAGACCTAAGGGATACAGCGATTCCCGACCGCGAAGGGAATCAGGACTCGCGAGAGCAGGCTCCAAGCGATCCCACTCCAGCCGAGACTGTCACGATGAGTGAGAAAGTGGAACTCCAAGGCCTGAACTCGAGCTCCGATGCGATGAGAGAAACATCATCTGACGCGGGCCATGGATTTTCGCCGAAGCATCTGTGGAACTATTTCCTTCAAAGGCTCAAGAACTTCAGCTTCGAAAACCGAACGGACGTCATCTCGCTTTCCGTCATCTCTGCCGTTGCCGTCTTGTTCATACTCTTCATTGTAATTGTCTGTGTGCTGCTCAAGAGGGGACGTTCGGATTCGTCACTCATCAGAGAAAAGCCCCGCCGCGTGCCTCATATCGCACACCGGCTGGATAAACTTGAGGGTTTCCTCGTTTAACGGGAGGCTGATTATAGTCGGTCGTGTCCGACATCTTCGATCTAAGGACTGAGCATCAGAGACCAGGAGTTCCTATCCGCAGAATGTGTCCCGCATGCATCCAGATTACTTTTCACGCGAGATTCCGTTGCTGATTCCCTTCCGCCTCGGAACGAGGCCATCCTTCAGGGCTGGCGGAGTACGACTGCGACGGCGCGCCTGGTGCCCCTAGTCAGCGATAGTCCCGCAACCCTTGCAGAGCTCGCGGCATCCCGACACGGCTTCCCGTGCCAAGGGGTTGCTGTGTCAAAGATTTTACTCAATCCCGGTGGATCGGCATTCAAGAACCTAGATGAAAGTGTTTAATATATTATAAACCTTGCTGTGCCTCCATGATATAATAAAAATTTCTAAGTTGTAAATCATCCCGAGTTGTGCGCTTCGGCATCCTTCGCGAAACTTGAGGAGTGCCCATACGGGGCAAAGTGAAATACCTACTCCGTAGATGTCCTCATTATGAGAGGAAATCTTGGCCTCACATCATGAATCGCGCGTCAAAGAAGATTGAGTGATGGCCGAATTTCCGTTGTTTTCCCGTAGAGATTCGCGTCAAGACTCGCCTGCCACTAGACGGCAGAAGTACTTCCCCCGCGTCGAATGCAGGAAAGTCTGCTAAATTGACTCGCTTTCGAGTTCATTCGCCTGACTTTTGTGGAGAGGATCGGATTCTGTTTTCGAGGATCAGGAATCAGCTCGAGCGGATCGTCGAGGAAACAAGGGAAAGCTCGAATATATTGAATAAGATGTAAAAATAATTCATGATGATTGCGGCGAGCAGCGCTCTGCTCTGACAGAGGGGGGTCGTTTGGAAGGGCGGGGCATACAATGGAGTAAGCTTCCTAACCTCAGATCTTCGGCCTCCATCGATGTCCCCGAAAACTTCACAAGCAGAACAGTCAGTTTTCGCAGTCGGCGGAAAAGTCGGTTTCTCTGCGGTGAGATAATATATATGGAGACTTTCCATCGCCGATCGAGATCTGGAAGGCGAGGACTGTAGTCCGATTCGCGTTAAGTTTGCGAAAATGATGTTAGTAGTGCCCTGTTGGAAAAAGGTTTCTTTGTCGTGTAAACGTTGTGGTGATCAAGTGTGTCGGTGAGTCCTATCGGGCTCCGAGCGCTCGAACGCGAACACATACCTTCGAATTCGCTTCAGGCACTCCTCAGATAGCCTGGAGGAATACGCATCTGCTTTCCGGAATGTTTTGGGACTGGTCTTTCGCTTCCCCAGTATGCCCCTTCTAGCAATGTGTTCTCCTTCTAGCTTCTATGGACCTCCCCGGGGCACCTGAGAACAGATGATAGGCGTGCTGGGAATATATTCTGAAGGAATCACGAGCGGGGACTTGCAGGACCTCGTAGGTTTTCCAACGGCAACGAGTTAACTCTACAGCTTCCATCAGCCTTGCCTACTCACTTCGCCTACCATACAAGGGTCGGCTGTATCCCAGCCGGGGATGGGAAATGCTTCATGACTTGAGAGCGAAATACAGAAAATGTAAGCGACCACGGCGCGCTCATACCGACAGGTGATGGCTGATTCATGGGTTCTCGGGATTCCCCCGGCGCTAATTCATCGCTCCTAGAGGGTATTCTCATCATAGTCTTGCTGATTTCCAGTGCCAGGGCTCGCGGGCGCTGCTTATCGCTCAAGCCCGAAGCTCGTCATCTCGAGATGAATATTTTCAAAGGTGACTCATCGGCCTAGCTAATGTCGGGATTTGCTGCCGAGACAGGATTTCCGGGCATTGAATTCGTATTCTTCACGGTATTTGAACTCAAGAGCGGCAACAGCAGAGAATCTTCCGGACGGCTGAACCCTCATCCCCGGGCCATGGAAA